TCATCAACATCACCATCATTACCATCGTCACATCATCACCATCAGCATCGTCGTTGTCATTATCATCATCATCATCATCATCATCGTTGTCATCATCATCATCATCATCGAAGCATGCATAGGAGCGTAGCAGACACGCAGGGCTCGGAACAGCGTGTTGCCGCGGTGGCAGCGTGCGGTTCTCGGAAACTCGGAATCTCAAGCGTAGCCTGCAGCCTCGAACTTCGGGGAAGAGACCAGACAAGCCAGCTAAGCCCAGCTGTTTTTTCTGGCCCAGGCCCTTTTGTCAGGCCATTGAAGCGTTGCTAGCTTAGTTGTGGCCGCGCAGTTTCAGGTTTCATGAATGGCAGATGTGGGTTCCAATCCAACGAATCTGTGAAGATCACCCCAGAACTGGGATGAGCTGGACTGGAAGACTGCGCTCGTGTTTACTTGTTTCCACTCGAGGAAGGGGCATGCTCTTGTAGCTCAAACTTCATATGAGGCCTCTGCGCAGCTTCACACAGAGGCTTCTGAGGCCCTGCCCAGGGCTCAAGGGGCATGTTCGATCTTTCAAGTTTCCATCAGTTGGCATATCTGACAAGGCGAAGCAACCCATGTAGTTAACGCACCCAAAACCTGACATGTAGTGGCATTGCCAGCGCTCTGGTGATTCCCATGCTTCTATGACAATCTAGTAGTTGAAGGAGTGTGACAGAGAGGGATGACGAGTCGAAAAGCATAAGACGCATCAGCACAAGCAAAGATTTCCAAGGCCCCACCTCGGGGCATCTCACAGGAGTTCGGCTTTATTTGATTTCCAAGTGGCTGTGCCCGCATTGTTCTTGGATTGTACTCCTGAGACAGAAACCTTTGCAATATGGCGCCTGGGTGAATCGGCTGGCATTGAACTACGATTCGTGATTCCTAGCGAAAACTTGGATGCAGGACCGGGTTCAGTTCTTTGGGTGTTGCATGCAAGAGTGTGGGCGTGGTCAGCGACCCCCTTGTGACTTCTGGGTTCCGATTCAGCCATAAATAGCTTGCCGGGTGACAGGTGTCCAGAAACGGCTGAATGTCAAGCTCACCTTTTCTACGAGCCTCCGGCCAGGCAAGATCGTTGGCTGTGGGTCTTCTATGTTGCCAACTCAGATTCCAGGAAATGCACAGTCCATGTGAATTCATCACCTGCCCTGTCTTGAACCGCAAAGCCGACAGCCCCAATTCCCCGCAAAGTTGTGCACCGCTTCGGCAACTTGCGTCATAGCGCAGCATGGGGCACTGCTGCGGCTGCCCCTGCGACTCTTACTCCTGCCGACTGTGCCCATGCCGCCGCCGTTGCTGCTGGTGCTAGCGATGTGGCGATCACGACGAAATATCAAAACGACGATGCTCCTCGCGTGAAAGCAGCAACACCACTGTCTTGCCTTCAAGCCGACAGGTTTGAAAAGTACCATTCGCGCGATATGTGATATGCAATTGTGGCTCGTGAGCACATCGCCGCACCTCGCAAGTTCGAAGGTGGCACAGTTCCATGAAATTCAGACTTCAGGCTCATCTTTTGGTCTTGTATGCCATCGCCGCCTCGTGCGTCGCACGGAACTCCAACCCGGCTCGGTGCTCAGCATCCTGAAGAGTGAATGCAAACAAGAGAAGTGCTCCAAGTGGTTTGCGGACATTGCGGGCGTCTCCACATGCCTCCCTCTCCGTCTCAAGCTCCCTCTTCCTCTCCACTCCCTCTCCCTCTCACTTTCGGTGTCTGCGTGTCGCCTGCTTCGGTACCTTCTGTCTGTCCGGCTGTCTCTGCCTCGGTCTCTGTCTCTGTCTCCGTCTCTGTCTCTGTCTCCGTCTCTGTCTCTGTCTCTCTCTCGCTCTCTCTCTCTCTCTGTCTCTCGCTCTCTCTCTCTCTCGCTCTCTCTCTCTCTCTCCCTCCCTGTCTCTCTCTTTCTCTCTCTCTCTCTCGTTCTCTCTCGCTCTCTCTCGCTCTCTCGTTCTCTCTCGCTCTCGCTCTCTCGCTCTCTCGCTCGCTCTCGCTCTCTCTCACTCTCTTTAAAGTCCGAAGCGCGCAGGGCATGTAGACCACAACCCGGCAGTGCTGGTCGCTCCTATTTCTCAATGTTCTGCGACCAATTTCCTGCTCTCTTTTTCGGAGCTTCAAGCCCACGCTTTGGCGCTCTACAGGGATTGCTGTGGGCAAAGCTTGCTCGAAGAGAGCTTTTCGACTTCTGTGGCCTTGGGCAGCAGCTCTTTAGGTCGAGCCTGATTTCACGCAATTTCGTGGGATGCTCTCTGCCGATTAGGGCCCCGATGCAGTGTGATCAGGACTCTCATTACAAGATACTATAGGCCTAGCAGGCCGTACTGTACTTGATTGCACTTGGAAGATTTACGTCAAGATCTGCGTCTCATTTTTTCCAGGACCCCCTGTACTGCCTGCATTCTGTATGATTTTAGGCATTGGTGTTCTTACCGGCAGGTTCATTCAGAATCTGGCGCAAGCGTTCTTGTGCTACACTTTCAGTGAGCTCCCAAACTTGCATCTGCGAAATGTTGCGAAAATCTGGAGCAATCGGGCGGCCCAAGGCGGCCCAAGCCGCCAGCTTTGAAGTTCGAACAGCAACACTTTGGCCGGTACTTCCACTCACCTCAAGCAGCAAGGAGTTTTCGAATCTGGGAGAATCAGAACCAAAGTACATCTCGAGTTGGACGCATCGAACATGTTGGTGCTTCGACAGGTGGTCGCTCGTGGCGTAATGAGGCTTCACCGTTCTGTAGAGCATTGCTCCGAGAAGTGCTCAGAGGCCAGTTTCAATCCGGTAGGGTGTATCTCTCGAGCACAGGATTCCACGTCGTGCTGCCACGGTCCCATGCAGTTCTGATGTGCGAATCATGGGGCTGCGGCAACCATGCTTGTAACGTCCTGCGTTTGCCAGTCTGCCTTTTCTTTGCAGCTGAGGTAAGCCCAGCAGAATGTGTTGACACCCGTTTGAAGCAATTGCAAGCTGCCGCAAGCCCGGACAGTTGATGACTTGTCCAAAGCTGGCCCTGGGTGTGTATGTGCAGCCCATCGTATGCAGTACTTCAAGTATTCTTTGTAGTGACAGCCGAAGTTCCTCAAATCGAACGGCATTCAGCATGCCACGCTTTCTTCCTGCAGCTCCTGTCACTCTAATGTCAAAGGTAAAGGCGATTCTTCACCTCGTGGGTTTTGTAGATCTCTGTCAGCATGTCGCTGGAAGCGTTTTCTTCGCGGTCTGTGTGCGCCGCTCCTGCCAAACTGTTGCCCAAGCCGAGCAGGGCTGTTGCTTGCGGGCTCCTTCTTGTCCTGAATTGCTGCTGCATCTCCTCTGTCTGCTTTGCCAGCATGTCGATTGCCCGAACGCCTGGGGCTTCAAAACTCGCACGCCAGATTACTTTTGAGGAAGCCTGGAAGTCGTCTGCTCATTCGCGCTTTTGTTGTTTGATCTATGCCACGCAGAACGGTTGGAAGCTGCCCATACTCTTCGAAGAGCTGCACTATCCGTATGATTGGTGTTTGGTGGACTTTGGAAAGAACGAGCAGAAGTCGACAGAATTCTTGAGGATCAACCCCAACGGACGGATTCCGGCGCTCATTGACCGTGAAAGCAATGTTGCCGTGGCCGAGTCTGGCGCTATTTTGGAATATGTTTGTGATACGTTGAAGAGCAACCTGCTTCCTTCGAAAGAAGCAAACCTGGAGAAACATCTGCAGTGCAAGCAATGGCTATACTGGCAAGTCAGTGCTCTGGGACCAATGATGGGCGACTTGGCCTGATATGGACAATGTCAGAGTAGATCGCAGCTGGCGCAATCTATGCCGTGTTGAATCAACCGTCATAACAAAGGATAGTCGGTCCTGCATGTTTTTCAACCAAAGGGTAGCAGCTATACAAGTATCTTCCAGCATCTCTGACCCCAAATCTGCGGTGCAGTTGCGCCACTACCACTTGACCATGCGTGATTTGGTGGCAAGCCTGCCACATCCGTATACAGGTAGTATGGGGCCGCTGTAATGCCAACTCCAGATCACCCACATACACATAAGAAGGCGCACCGGGAGGTCTTAATTGTCCAGCCTCCGGTTCAGTAGCACTTGGATGCCAGCGGCAACTCCCAGGTCAAAGTATGTACTTCAACCGTATTGCGGCAACAAAGGGCGAGAAAGACTCCTTCTCCATCGCTCGCTTTAGCAAGGAAGCAGAACGGTGTCTGCAAATGTTAGATGCTCGTCCGCACTTGCTCCTGCTCTGAGTGTGCATCGCTGACTTGGTGGCTATGCTGATCCCAATTTGTGAGCCCTGCTTTGATGTCTTGAAGGTTTGCGCTGTTATTATACGATCGCTATGGCATCGTTGTGTTTCTCAGGACGACCAGCTTGCTGAGAGCAAGGGTCCTTTCCTTTTCGGTGACGAGGCACGTCTATCTTAGTTCAGTGGCGCGTGGTGCGGGGGTTTTGGCTGCAGTCGCAGCACAATCACCGCCGCAGCATGACAACAACAGCAGCAGCTGCAGCAGCAGGGGTTGTGGTGGCAGTAGTAGCAGCATGCCACTGCCACTAGTAGTAGTAGTAGTAGTAGTAGTAGTCGTCGTCGTCGTCGTTGTCGTCGTTGTCGTAGTAGCTGTTTTAGTTGTTGTAGCAGTTGCAGTAGCCGTAGCAGTAGCAGCAGCAGTAGCAGGAGCGGTAGCAGTAGCAGCAGCGGCAGCAGCAGCAGCAGTATTCGTAGTAGTGGTCGTCGCCCTCGTTGTGGTCGTCGTCCTCGTGGTCGTCCTCGTCGTCGTGCCAGAAGCAGCGGTGCTATTCTTGTCGCTTCAGATTGCGAGTGCCTTCCTTCTAGTCGATTCTAGTCACTAGTCCTTGCCATGGACGGCTACAAACACGACGACGACGACTAGCACTACGATTACGACTGCGACAGCAGCAGCAACAACAACATCAATGACATTGGGTTTAGGGTTTAGTTTAGGATTTAGGGTCTAGGGTAACGGCGACGACAAACACAACTGCAGCAGCGGCAACAACAACGACAACGCTGAGCCGACATGTCAACACGTGCACGGCCCCATGTACGGCAACGTACGGTTTACGTGGCCTGATTCCATGTAACCGCGCAAAACCGACATGCCGATTCCATCGGTATTTACGGTGTTTCCCTTCCTTCATGTGCCTAATCTATCGGTGCCGTCGGTGTTCCCGGCGCCTCCAAAGTCAGGAACTCTGCACGTGCCGTAACCCTCGGCATTTACGGCGTTGCCTTTGCTCGCAATACCGAAACCATCGGTATTTGCGGCGTTTCCTCTGTCGGCCCAACCATGATGCCATGCATGATCATGTATGGTTTGGTCCGTTCTGAGCAGAGAGCATCCATGGCCCAACCATGATGATGTCCATGGTTCAGTCCGTTCTGAGAAGAGAGCAGCCATTGCCCAACCATGATGACGCGCATGGTCTAGTCAGTTCTGAGAAGAGACTACTACTACTACTACTACTACTACTACTACTACTACTACTTCTACTAGTGGGCTAAGCGGTTGACGTCAAGTTGACGTCTCAAGAAGAGCAGAAGACCTCTAATGCGAAACCCATTCCAGTGTGCCTTCGACTGGGAGCCAGATGCCCACTGAACGTCAATCAATGCTGCATCAATGCCTCCCATTGCTGCATACATGAATGTTCAGACAGTGTTCTCAGAACTAGCATGATCCGCATCCTGTACACGAGATGCAAGAAGCAGTTGTATGCCAGTGCCAGCATTTTCCACGATCAGGTGTCTGTAGTCGATGTTGCTTGCTTCGCTTATGTGCTCCGGCCCATCATTGGTATGTTTCTTTTGTGAAAGTCGGAAGCTTTTCAAGTGACCCATGTGGGTGCTTCAATGGTGGTCCTAATCTTGGCGTTGGCTGCACTTGAGACAAAGAGTCAAGAACTGAGGCTGCAAGTGCATATTGGGCTTGCATCGACATCGGTTCCATGCTCAACCTCCAGGCCGGGTTCGCTCAAGTCATCAGACTCGCTTGGCACTCCTGACCATCCTAGCCACGAAGATGACTTGGAATTGGGCATCGCGGCATCGCCGATGCCATGGGCCCGGGCTCGTCAGGCCTGGTTGCAGCACCTGCACGAGCGGCCGTCCTTCAAGACTGGGCTGACGATCCCATTTGCGAGGTGCGTCCGCAGACATAAAAGTAGCCACAGAGCATTGAAGACATCGCGTCAATGCAGCGAGGCCGTGAGTCCTAGTGAGTGCATTCACCCGGATTTTGGGCTGACGCAAGGCCAGCATTCTTTGGGCCGCCCTGGGCAACGGAGGCGGATGTCGCAGCAACGAGTCTGCATCTAGACGAGGGTCGCTTCTGTCAAGTCAGCTATGAACACCTGATACACACTAGGACCAGGACGTAGCACACACAAGGTGCACCGAGAAGCGCTGAGCTAGAAGCGAACTTGGTTTGCGACAGGTTTCTAAGAGTTCGGTGCAGTGATTGCAGCAGTGAGGATCGTGTTGTTCAGTTGGGCCTCTCGTATCTTCCGGGCTGAGGCAGAGATCGGGGCCAACGCTGCTCAGTTCACTATTCCTCAGAAGTAACGGAGGAGGCCGCAAGGCTGTCAAATCGTTCCACTTGTATCTTCCTTTATCTTCGCAAGTGCGAGAGAGCGATCGGTACTTTCAGTGAAGTCCTCAGTTGCCTTGACAGGAGCGCTGAACCCTCGCGGTGGCGAACTTCGTGGATGCAACATCAATGCGCGGCCAGCATCACCGACTCGTGCTGCAGCTCATGCCCATCCACTGACCAGCCTCCGTCGCCGTCTGACATGGAGCGAAGCAGGAGCTGACCACTCCCAAGACTTAAGATGACTCAAGAAGCTTGCTCGCTGCGCGGAGAAACATGGCAGAGCTGCGCGATGTGCTCGTTTCGTGTTTGCCTGAGATGTGTTCACCATCAGGTTAAAGCATGTTCGAACGAAGACTCCCATGCGTGTGGTTTCATGCTCGGTTGTCCGGCTCGGAAGCTGTTGGATATCCGTTGGCACCACAATGCTGGGATTAGCATGAACAGACCTTGACTGCAAAGCACCTCAAGGCAGAACCCAGCAACACGCCTGCCGCCTGCCCAACATGCAGAATCGTAACAGAAGCTTCAAAAGCTGGCCTATTGCCAGTAGCGAACTTTGGGAGTATACGCGCAGCATAATGAAGCGAGAAAGGCTGAGACTAGGAGAATTTAGGCTGTGTGGTCGAAATGTCGGTCAGCGATCCCGACTTTACGGCCATGGGCAGTTTCCATCTGCTGGTGGCGGACCTGGTGGCCACCCATGCTTTTCGGCAGGCAATCCAAGTTCTTGGCGGCAAATTGCAGCAAAGCTGGCAAGAGGTGATGGCCGTGTTTTGCCTCCAAGGACAGGGTTGTGTCGGAGCTGCAGCAGCAGGTCGACGACCTGAGAGCTGAGGTGGCAGCCTATCGGAGGCCCTAGACGGATCAGAAGACTTCCGAAGGGCGCGTCAGAAAATCAGCAACGTCACGCTTTTCTTGTCCCCTTCCGCTCGAAGGTGTCCTGGACAAGACCTCGCCCTAGCTCCACGGAAGGCCTGTCACCCTTACTTAGGACAAGCATCGGCAAACATGTCGCTCTATTGCATTGCATGCTGGCCACGCCTTGATTTCACATGGCAGCTGGGTAGTGACTGATGATTCCAAGTAATGTTCGTGTGAGCCGAGATGTTATTCGCTTCACCAGGGTGGCGTCGTTAGACTTGATGTGCCAATCCGGAGTCGCAGCAGGAAGTGGCGGACAAACTCCACATCCCAATGGCAGATCGAGTTCTCGAACCGGAGGCGTTCCCAGGCCGAAGCAGACTCCGAACATTGATTGGGCCACTGTGAAAAAATGCAATGTTTGTATTTTCTAGGGGGGTTCTAGCAATAGGCTGCGCAGCAGATGACCATGGTCTGGCTGATGACACCTTACCCTACAGTACAACTGCGTGTAACTCCTCCACCGGCCCAAACTGCCTAAGCGTGTCATCGATTTGTGCGCTTTTCGCAGGTTCTCCTATTATCGGTGAGGTAG